CCCCGCCCCGCGCGGCTCTGAATGGAGAAGGGGCGGGGGTGACCGAGGGGAACCTACTCCGCTATCTGCCGCGCGCGCCGGCTGCGGGGCCGGGCCAACCGCCGAATTTAGTAACATCGCCTGCGTCAATCACGCGCCTCGCGTGCGTCAGCGCCGCGCGGCTCCAGGTCCTGCTCCCCCCGCTCCAGCCTTTGAATGGATACAATGTAGCAGCGCCCTCCTTCCTTCCGAGACTGGATTGGAACCCGCGGCAGCGCAGAGGCTCGGTTCCTCTCCAGCGGGTTAACTTTTGGAGCATCCTCCCACGGTCTTCTCCACACCACTCTGTCTGAAGTAGAAGTGGAGGCGAAGAAAGATGTACGTGCCATATACATTGATATGTAGTTTTGTTTTCAGGTTTCTGGTCCTAGCTCGAACCTTCTTCGGTTTTGAAACGTGTACTGTAGACAATGGGATTTCCCTCCCGCCATACACACCAGCCCCCACACACGCGAAGATTGGGACAGGTCAAAGAAATAAAATGTCATATCTGATTCAAGCGGACCAAGTGGAGACCATGTCTGTTTGCACTGGTTCACTCAAATATTTTCTCCTCAAACATTCGTTTCTGAAAGAGGTTGCTTTCACTCAGCAACCTTTCGAACTAGGAGTCCTTAACTCTAATAATTTTTTGTTTTTGTTTTCAGTAAGAACTTCACACTTAAATTTGTCATTTCCAGGAAGGAATTGCTCTCTCTCGTACACTCGCCGAGGCTTTCGGCACTGTTTCTTGACAGATGTGTCCCAGGAGACCAGAGCAAATTCCCTAGGGAGGGACTGACTAATAAATCCTGTTGATTTCGAAATGCTTAATTGGGAGATGGGGGGACACCTACAACCATCAAAAAGTGAAAGTGCAAGTTAAGAGTTCCATTTCATTTCTGACGGGGTGCTGGGGGGGAGAGACAATTTGCAACAATCAGACCCGCTCAGCTGTTGAACACGTGTGTGTTTGTTTTATACACATTAAGTAGTTTCTGCGGCAGCGCGCTTGTGGATGATGGATGTGCATTTCGCTGGGTTATAATATGTCCAGCTGGAAAACCCACACCGTAAGTGTAAACAAAAAAACCTTATCCCCAGAGTCTGCGAAACACGCACCCAGCAAATGATGGGAGGAGGAGGGAATTAGCCTAGGCACAGAGAGCCGGAGAGATGTAAACAGCTTTAGAACCGTTGCACGAGGAAAGCGCAGCTGCACCTGGTGCCAGACTCCTCTGCACCGGCTGCCAGGTCACTCGCAGAAGCTGGCTGGAGAGACCTTCCCTTTCGGAAGAGCTGTCCTCTCCCTTACCCCCTCGCTCTGGCTCTGTGCCTCGGGGCAGCCTCGGAGGCTCGCCAATAGCACGCCTCCAACTCTACTCCACCCGACCCTGACAGCTGGGCGGTCCCGCCTGACCCGCGGCCGGGCCGCTGCCCCCTCCTGCAGACGCGCGCCCTAGCGAGCAGCGTCGCGGCATAGGAATCGGCAGCGCGGGTCCGATAGGTCTCCAGGCAGTGGCCAGCCGTGCGGCGCAGTTTCCATTGTGCGGCCGTGCGAGTGGCTGGGGAACGCGCGCGCGCACACACGCACACACACACACACCCTCCCTCGCACACGCGGAACCGGCTGGGCCAGGGGAGGGAGGAGGAGGGTGACGTAGCGTCCCATGGCGTCACATTGACGTCTCGCATTCCAAGCACTCTATGGAGAGGCCGCTAGGGCTCCTGTGGCATAAATGACGTGCCGAGAGAGCGAGCGAACGCGCAGCCGGGAGAGCGGAGTCTCCTGCCTCCCGCCCCCCACCCCTCCAGCTCCTGCTCCTCCTCCGCTCCCCATACACAGACACTCTCACACCCGCTCCCTCATTCGCACACACAGACACACGCGCGCACACACGCTCCGCACACACACTCCACTCTCTCCCGCGCGCTCACACCCCTCTTGCCCTGCGCCCTCGCCGGTGCAGCGCGGCACGGCAGCCGGACGACCCTCCCAGGCACACTTTGCAACGCTGACAGCGCCGGCAGTAGCTGTGGAGGTGGGAACAGCGGCGGCATCCTCCCCCCTGGTCGCGGCTGGGGCTAGGACGCCCGCGGAACCTCTCGGCGGCGCTCTCCCATGATTCGGGGTCGCAGCATCCTCGGCCTGCCGCTCACCGCCTCTGCGAGCCGCTGGGCTTATACACCGCAGCCCTTCCGGGACAGCAGCTGTGACTCCCCCTACCAGCGCAGATTTCGAGACTGCTCTCTAGAAACTCGCTCTAAAGACGGAACCGCCACAGCACTCAAGTACGTATCACATTCGCCCAGTTATTAAGGAGACTTGCTAAAAAGTTGGCGTGCTGGGAAGCGTCGCTCCTGAAATTGACAACTTTGAGTGTGGGGTTCCCCCCACCCGCGCCTCCCTGCTCGGGCTTTTCTAGCCGGGCGGCCCGCACGTTCTGATCTGAAACTTTTCCTCTGTAGCGGGCCCGCGGGGATCTCTGGAGCTCGTGGGATTCCTCCCCCTACCCGAAGAGGCGAAAAGCCTCTAACAAAGAGGAGGACCGGGATTTGTGCAGTAGCAGCTCCAGCGATGTAATTCAGGGTATTTCGGCTCTAGTTGTCATGGTAATGATGCTCTCGGCGGCGGCGGCGGCGGCGGCAGCGATAGGGAGTTGCAGCTCCGGTGATGAACGGCAGTAATTTTCCTGCCTTTTCAGTAATATTGAAAATAGGGACTCTGGTTTGTCCAACTTAATGTACCAAATGGTGGCACAGAGCTGGTTGTCTGGGAGGAAGCTTGGGAGGGAAGAGGCCCGGGCATTGGCGGCAGTAGTTTGCAGAGGCGCTCGGAGGAGCTCAGTAAAGAGGGTGTAATTGTAGGAATGTGGCTTATTGTACTGAAATGAGCCTGGGACTCCACTAGGCACGTCTGCCAGGCGTCGATTACTTGCTGGTTTACACTTTTCCCTTCGGAGATAACCGGGTGTAATTGCCGACTCCCGCTCCGCGACACGCGTGGGGACGGTGTCCCTCTTCTTCGGGCCTTGGCTAGGTGTGGGAGAGGCATGCTTTACATTTTCACTGACAGAACTCGCGCTTTTGGAAAGTTGCTCCGAGTGTTTCACTCTTAGTAGAAATGAAAGTTCTCGGTCGTGAGAGAAGAGAGGTCTTGCGAGCGCAGCCTGCGGACACTGACTGCGAAAGGCACCTCTCGAACCTGTTGGAAGCTTCGGGGCACTCGTGAGAGAGAGGGAGAAAGCATTTGCCCCTGGATTTCCAAGAACGGACTTGGAGACTGCCTTTTATTTATGCCTCCGGATTCTCCGGAGGGAAAAGCTGCAAGAAGATTAGTAATCAAAAATCTCGGGCTGTTATCCCAGGGCCTTAGGGTGCCGGGAGAGAGGTACAGGGTGCCGTTCAGTCATTTCATGGCTAATCCAATCCTCTTTCTCTTTTTCCCACGATGGGGAAATATTTTATAGAACCTAGTTGAGGAAAGAAAAAGCTGCCCAATGCGGCTACTGGGCACAATGAATGAAGTTACTTTATCGAGTTATTTTAGCTGAACAAGATGATCGTAATGTGAATATCAAAGCTCTTGACAAATTTGTTAAAGGGATACTAGATGCCAAGCCTGTGCAAGCACCAGAGATACACAGATAAATAGAACACAGTCCCAGCAACCTCATCTTTTACCTGGAAACCTCAGAAAGACACAAAGAAGAGCGATAGGTAGGGATTGGCAGGGGAAAATGACACAAAAGACCAAGGGAGAAATCTTAGAGGTGCTGAAGGGAGAAAAAAGATCAGAAAGCCTGTGCAAGCACCAGAGATACACAGATAAATAGAACACAGTCCCAGCAACCTCATCTTCTACCTGGAAACCTCAGAAAGACACAAAGAAGAGCGATAGGTAGGGATTGGCAGGGGAAAATGACACAAAAGACCAAGGGAGAAATCCTAGAGGTGCTGAAGGGAGAAAAAAGATCAGGCAGTGTTCTTTCTTTTGAATGATTAGCCTTTCATTTCATCCCAACAATTGGACAGCAAGATAAGTAATCCTTTCACGTCAAACTAGTGAGTGTGTTTTTAAGGCCCTGCTTGGAAAAGAAAGGCTTGAAAAAGGCTTGAACTGGCCTCTCTTCATCACTGCTTCTTCCAACAGGCCCTCATCACCTTTTTTCAAGTCAAGATTTCATCCCATACACGCATGACTCAATCAGATTTGGAAATGTGGGTAAGAGAAAGATGTCAGAGGAAATGTGAAGTACTCACTTTCTTATTAGTCACAACTTTTACACCATACAGTTTGAACAGATATTAAGCACCTGGTTTTCCTTTGGCTCAGAAAAACCAACCACCAGAAAGTTCCCATTTTATCATTTATATTTAGCCATAAAGAAAGGAAAATAATTTGATAAATCATCTACTATATACAATAATTCTCAGGGCCTTCTCACCCAGTTCAGCCTCTCCAAACAATAGTAAGCACCCTGGATACCAGTGGCTTTGGGGGCTCAACATAGTCAAACTGGCAGAGAAACCAAATCTATTCAGAAACTGCTTTCTTCTTTTCCAGGGGACTAATTCTTCTGTCATAAGAAAATACCTAGACCAACTTGCCTATCATGATAGCTGTAAACTGTTGTCATAAAAACAGCCACTGATATACTTCATTAGTCAGAATTGGGAACTAGGGCCGGCCGGGTGGCGCACTGCTACAGTGCGCCGCTTGGGAGCGCAGCGGCACTCCCGCGGAGGGTTCGGATCCCACGTACAGACAGGCCGCTCACTGGCTGAGCGAGGTGCAGGCGCAACACCGAGGGTTGCGATCCATTGCTGATCACGGAAAAAAAAAGACAAAAAGGAAAAAAAAAAAAGAATTGGGAACTATATGTATGTGTAAATATATACATATATACATACATATACTGTATAGCAGAGGACAGTTTTGGTGGGTGTTTTTTTGCAGCTGCTGATCTTTTTCTTTGCAGATGGTGCAAACTCCCCCGAGTCCATTTCCTGGGCCTACATCCCCACCTAACCACCTAGCTGGCTGAAATCATCAACAGGGGTCCAGTTTGTGCAGGCAGCTAGCTCTGTTTGGAGGAGTGGGGAGGGGGTGGGAGAAAGCAACCACAACGTGTGTGGGCAGCCTCCGTTGGCACTCGTAAAATGTTAAATGTCACTGTCTCCCTTGGCCAGTAAGTTCCACGTAGGACACCTTTTTGACTAACGCATAGGTTTACACATCAGTGTGGGTGGCTTGGGTGGGGAGGGGGGAGACAATGGCCTTTTCCTCCCAGAATAAACTAACAGGGCATTTGCTGGTTTTCTCTTTGTCCTCCCAGCTTGTAGGTGATGGGGCCACTCCAATTAGTTTATACAATTCAAAGCCACTTTTTAAAAAACATCTCTGGGCTTATGAGGGAAGACATCAAGTTTCCCAGATCTGGTAGAGGACTGGGCAAGGGAGGGAAGATGAGTACAGAGGTCCCCAGGAGGCCTTTCGGCATTCTGTGGCCCCTCTATCAGGGATTCAGCCTTCTTCCCAGGGAGAAAGAAAGTTAAGTGTGGGGCTTTACATTTATGGTCTATGCTACCAGAAAGAAGAGAGGATGTCACTTCCTCTCTGTTTCCCAGATTAGAGAGCAATGAATCCAAGGCTGCCTCTTAGCTCGGAAAGGAGTGTTGACTTGCTTCTGAGAGACCCTTTCCTCTGTCCCTGCAGATATGCCCTGCGTGCAAGCCCAGTATAGCCCTTCACCTCCAGGTTCCAGTTATGCAGCCCAGACCTATGGCTCGGAATACACCACAGAGATCATGAACCCCGACTACACCAAGCTGACAATGGACCTTGGCAGCACCGAGATCACGGCCACGGCCACCACGTCCCTGCCCAGCTTCAGTACCTTCATGGAAGGCTACTCGAGCAGCTACGAACTCAAGCCCTCCTGCCTGTACCAAATGCAGCCGTCCGGGCCGCGGCCTTTGATCAAGATGGAAGAGGGGCGCGCGCACGGCTACCACCATCACCACCACCATCACCACCACCATCATCACCATCACCAGCAGCAACAGCAGCAGCAGCAGCCATCCATTCCTCCCCCTTCCGGCCCGGAGGACGAGGTGCTGCCCAGCACCTCCATGTACTTCAAGCAGTCCCCGCCGTCCACCCCCACCACGCCGGGCTTCCCCCCGCAGGCAGGGGCGCTGTGGGACGACGCGCTGCCCTCGGCGCCCGGCTGCATCGCGCCCGGCCCG